GCGACGAAAAGCTCTCGGTGTGCCGATCTCTCGGTGGCCCTAGGCTGCCGGTTCTTACGCTACTGGGATCGATATCCCGGGAGGCCAAACAGTAAACAGCCGGTTGGTCAGGATAGAGCCGGTGGTGGGGTTGCATAACATGGAGGCACCTACTGCCTTCACCCGCCGCCTACTCTCTGCCTCCACCGGCGTCGCCTGCCTGCCAGCGGGGGACGAAAGGACGACCGTACCCGAAGAACGTTACTAACCCTCTGCGTTCGAAGTAGGCGCGACGCTTTCGAGATACCGAAACGCTGCGTATGCGTTTCGAATACGCAGACCAAGAAACGTTTTTTTCGATGTTAATGGTTGCAGCAAGTTCGTCCTTCGAGTCTTGTACCTTTAATAATTAGGGAAAGAGACAGATCTGTTATCCTTCTTTTTAAAAAATACTTCCAACTGTGGTGTCTGGAGGCTGTAGAAACGTTATGATACTATTGGTACAGCTTTGTTTCTTAAAGAAAATTCGTGGTTTATTTCTTCGGGAACTAGAGCAGAAAATAGGTTCGCTACGTTTTTAGAGATTTTTGATAATTAAGAAAGGGCAGATTTACTGCTTCGTAAATGTTTTCAAGTATGGAGAGCAAGTATCTCTATATAAGGAAGGTATAGGTTGATGGAGAAATGTGAATTTTGAACGTAGTGTTGGTACTTTTGAATGAGATTTTAAAAAGAGGAAGAGAGATGCATCGAGGGATGGAAAGTTGAAGTTTTCGGTCCGAATAGAGGACTTTAGGAGTATCTGTTGTTTGGAGCAGTTAGGGGCGATTTTAGGGCAGCTTTGTATGAGTAGTTTTGGCAAAATCTTTTGAAGGACTCTGAGGTATACTAATTTGAAGTTCGGTTCGTTGTAATTTTGAGGGTTTTATGAACGTTTGCGGAAGTATGTGGTTTTTCGAACGAAGTTTAAGGACTAATAGCCAGTTTTGTAAACAAATTTTAATACTCATGAATATTTGAATAAATTTTTTATTTCATACTGGTTGAAACATGTTATTGAGGGTGGAGGTCTGGAAAAATTTCAAGCTAGCTCGAGTTAGGATCAGGGTTGGGTCGTGTATATTATAAGTTTATGCGCGTATTTTACGACTAATCGATTCTTTTAAACGCACCAAGTATTTCAACGTGTCCCAGATCTTAGGATTTTATGGAGGTTCAAAATTTGAGACGTTTGGCGACAGCTTGACAGAGATTTCGAGAGTTTTTTTTTTAGATTTGAATCTAGAAACTGATCCATCGAATTAAACTCAATTCTCAAGAAACTCCCCGAAGGAAGATAATCGTAGTACTTCGATTCTATATAGACTAGAATCGGTAGAACAAGAGAAAGCGAGTATAACGCTGCCGTGTTGATTTAAATGGACGTATCTGGTCGAAAATGCGGTTTTGAGAAAAATGAATTTTCGTATTTAACAAGCAGACATCGATCATCTCACACACGTCCATCGAGATATAAACTATTATATCGTCAGTTTCGATGCAGATACGGCTTTCTTATTTGATATTAGATATAGATAAGCTATCATCGTGCTACCTGGCAGCAGTGGTTTGATTTAGACGAAAGTTGCAGATACGCCGCTTTGATTTAACACGATAGAATGGTTGTCAATAAATCAGATACGGCTATTAACCGAATTGGGAAAACGCATTCCCCCAGAGAAACGCGGAAGGCCATGGATCTCTAGCGGGACGTTGGGAGCAGGCCGGAAACGAGTCGATGGTGTCGAAGGAAAAAAGCGAAAAGCTGCTTTCGGGATGTGTTCCCTTCCCTTCCCTTTTCTTCGACTCGTTGGTTTGATGGTCGCGGCTTCTCGCGAGGGTCGCGCTTTTGTGAAAGAGGAGAATCTGCTGGAAATCCCGTCGTTGGTGAGGATATTTCGTCGTCGAGTGGTAGCTGCTAAAGGTTGCCGAGGGTGGTTGATCTTCACGCGGAAACGTGATCGGCAGAAAGAGACCTGTTTCGCCTTGAAGTTTCTCCGCCAAAGAGTAACGCGATGATGCTCTTACTGTCTCGCGGTGCTTCCTTTTTATTTTTTTGCTACGCGTCGTCTAAAAAGAATCTTTCGGGGGTGAGAATGTCTTTTGGCGAGCTGACTTTCGAGCACAGTTTAAGAAGACTTTAAAATTAAGTAAAGTAAGGAGATGATCGAAGCCGATAATTGAGGTGTTGAGAAATTAAAAAGTTATTCGGTAAAAAGAGAGATCGAGATCGATAAGAAGATTGTTATATTAGTAATCGAGTGATTGCCGTTTAATTAGTTTAAGAAGTCGGCGTTTTAGATTGTACGGTAGAGTCTAGCGAGCAAATTTTCATGTGACGGCCCTGATCCATCGTAGAACAGAATCCCAACGATGTTACATGTTTCACGATGGCGCGATTAATCCGAGTATTCTCGGTTGCCAGATAAACGTCTGACCACGGCATTTTTCACATCCCGGAACGGATCACCGGGGAGATCGGCAATCGGGAAGTAAATCGGAAAACTGATGATCGGCAGTAGAAAACGGATAGGTCTTGCAAAAAAAAAAGAGCAATGCTAATTTAAATCGACACTATGGTACAATTAAACTATCAAAGGTTATCAGAATTTGGATTTAGAGAATAAATACATGTAGAAAGAAGAATTAAGTGTTAATTAAAAAGCTAATTTCGAAGAACCTTGACATTCTACAATTTCGATAAATGAAGAAAGTCGTTGTTTAAAATATCTGTAAGCAAAACGTTTCTAAATCGTACGTTGCCATAGACATTTCTTCGATGAAAATAGATTATTAAACTCAAATAAAATTCTCTTCGCGTCGCAATATTTCCTACTCATCGCTCAAATCTCATTAACCTGTAAATAAACGATACAAGCAAGGTAACCTTATTTTAAACTACGCGTTACACTGATAAATCCTTGCGTAGCATTAAAGTTCTCGTAGAAAATCGTTCGACGAGAGGAGGGATCGGAGCGTGGATCGTGGGGGAGAAGCATGGAAAATATACAGGAAAGAGGAGAAAAAAATAGAAGCAAAACGCGCGCGAGACCGATGGAAGATGCTCGAAAGCGGGTTCCAGCAACCACAGAGGGAAAAGAGATGGCGGATGGGGCTGCGCGAAGGTGAAGCCGAGCAGCTCGAACCCTCGAACGTTCAAGAGGGCGAAGGAAGACGCAAAGTCGATCGCGTACGTCGTCGCTGGGGACTCGCTCGTTTTTCTATTGCGATTCTTGATGCGATGCAGGGAATGACGAGAGTGAAATATGCGAGAAGAACGTGTTGTTTTGATTTTCAGGTTTTTCAGATTTTCTGGCAATGGATGCTTGGTTTTCAACGTTCGAATCGCCTCGTAACGACGAGTGGTCCGTTAAACAAGGACACTTTCAACGTGTGAAAAGAATCATTAGAACAAATGAGAAACCACGTATATTAAGAGATTGTTTGCAAATGTAGTTTTATAGATAGAAAAATCGAAGATGATCCAAAGCGCATAGCAAGATTAAGATTTATCATATTAACATATATAACTGTATCTATGATTGATACTGTTTCGACATGGTATTTGTAATTGAATAATTGTTCGATCATTGAAAACAACAAAGTTTTACTTGAGATGTTAATTCGATCTTTCTAATTTCGTAGGAGTCAATTCTTTAATGTTTTTGAACTTCAAAAATATTCATTCATGATCAATAATGATTAAGTCGCAATGGTTTTGAGAAGTTCTATCTCAGCCACAAAAAAAAGAGGAAGATTTATTTGTAATATACTAGCTGGATTGACGAAACAGTTGTTCGTCAAATGAAAACCACGAGCAGAATCTATGCCCTTTTTCATCGCATTTGTTTTTGGACAGTTACGCTTACCCTTAACACCTTCAGCCGAAAGCGTTTCAATTTTTACACGAATATAAAAGCAAAAGCTACAACACCATCGCAGTGAATTTGTTTGTACGTTCTGGAATATCCACAAGATTTGGAAGATCCTATATTTATTATATATTTGTTCCAATTTGATTTAGACAAAGACATAATACTAGGCAGTAAAGAAAATCTAGCAGGATGACTATTTTTTCAGGTTTCCTCATTAAACTCATAGCAATTTCCATACGAATGTACGGAACTGCAATTAATTTTAAAATGAGAAATTCTGAAAGTCTAAATCAAAAGTTCTACCAATACGAATAAAAACTTCATTCACTCAAATATACGCGTAGTATAACGAA